ACTAAAAAGTAAATACAAAAAGAAAAATAGTTTAAAAAAAGTGAAGTAGTGAAATAAGAGTCTATATGCAAGCTATTGGAATGATATATTAGGTAAATAGATACATGATTTACTAAGTAGCAGAATGTTATGGATGTTGTTACAACAGTTCAGGTGTTTAACAGTCTTATTGCCTGCGGGATGAAACTGTCTCTGAATCTGGTGGTTTTTGTCCGGGTGCTGTGGTAACGCCTGCCAGACGGCAGCAGACTGAACAGTTGGTGGCTGCGGTGATGGGGGTCTTTTATAATCCGGAGGGATTTCTAACTGAGCCGCTGGGAGAAGAGGTCCTCCATGGATGGCAACTCTATCCTGGTGATGTTCTGTGCAGTTTTCACAGCTGCGGTGCAGCCGACGTACCAGGCCGTGATGCAGCCAGTCAGGATACTCTCTATGGTGCACCTGTAGAAGTTGCTGAGTATCCTGGAGTCCATTTTGAACCTCCTCAGCCTGCGGAGAAAGAGGAGCCGCTGTCGAGCTTTCTTGGTGATGGTGGTGGTGTGAAGAGTCCATGTCAGGTCCTCAGTCATGTGGAGACTGAGGAACCTGAAGCTGCTGACTCTCTCCACCGTAGTCCCATTGATGGCGATGGCGGCGTGTCCCTCTCCCTGCTGCTTCCTGTAATCCACAATCAGCTCCTTTGTTTTGCTGACGTTGAGATGGAGGTTGTTATCCTGGCACCAAGATGTCAGTTTTCCGACCTCCTCTCTGTACGCCGTCTCGTCGCCGTCTGTGATCTGACCGATGACGGTCGTGTCGTCAGCAAACTTCACGATGGTGTTGGAGCTGTGTGTGGCCACGCAGTTGTGAGTGAACAGGGAGTAGAGGAGAGGGCTGAGCATGCAGCCTTGAGGGGCTCCGGTGTTGAGGATCAGGGTGGAGGATGTGATGTTTCCCACCCACACTGCCTGGGGTCTGCCCGTCAGGAAGTTCAGGATCTGCAATTGTGTACCAACTACAATTGTAGTACCAACTACACAATTTATAATATTACATTTTATTTAATAACCATATAAAGTAATTGTTGGATCCTCAGTATTACATTTTCTCTCGTCATATAGAACTGGCGCTGTCATTCGTTATGAAGAGAGGTATTTTGGTTGTTTACTTGATTATTGTTCTTTTTAATCACATATTTTGTTTCTTGTCTCTTCCTATGTAGCCACTGCTGAGTGATTTATGGAACTGTTCCTGGACGGGACTTCATTACACGACAACATGGACACATCAAACTTTGCCCATGTCATCTTCCAGAATGTGGGGAAGAGCTACATGCCCCATGCTGCACTGGAGTGTCACCTCACCCTGACGCAGTTCATCAAACCAAATCCAAAGGACTGGGTTGGCATATTCAAGGTGAATAACGCTCTTCAATGTATTATGAAAGCATTTAACAAAACTGCAGTATATGCATATTTATTATGGTTATGAGTAAATGGAGTAGCAGAAATATAACAGTACGGTTTCAAATGACTGCAGAATTTGATTTATTGGAATCTCCAACATACTGTATGATAACTCCATTTGTACAAGGGAGCAATGACATAGCGGTTATTTATCTAGGTCTTAAAAACGAACAAATTAGTGCCAGTGAACACCTCGCAGCTATCTGTCAAGGCTTTAATTTAAGGTATCACTGAAAATGTGGAAACCAACTATTAATTCAGTAGTGAGAACAACTTGAATTATGCAGCTATTATAGTGCTTATTTGGAAGAGGGATTGGAGCGGTTTCACCCCCTTTAGTACCCCACATGGATCTTGTTATAGGAGGACATTAAATCCAAAACAGTGGCAGTCATTTGTTTTAGCCTCATCTCTAGTGAATCGTGGTTGAACACGGAAGCATATGCCGGCTTTTCCAGTCCAGCATGCTTTTTATTCCCCGGATATAAGAAGGAAGCTGAAAGTAAATCAAATCATAAACAAAATCTAACTAATGGCCCTTTGTGTTTATTTTGCATTCTGCCTTATACCCGTATAGTGCACTTATTGTTATGAGACAAGTTGTTTCAGTTTTGCTGAACATGAGACATACAAATGTATATTCATATTTTTAACAATGATGAAAGCCCTATATTTATACTGTGTCTGAAAAAATAGGTCAATGATTAATATACTTAGTGTGTGCTATTCATTATACGTCTGTAGATTTATGAAATGTATGTTAACAGAGGGTTTTTCCAAGCTTCACTGAGAAATGAGGTCATGTTAGGCTACTGGAGGACGATCACATAATGTCTGGAGGCTGTCTAAGTACCGTGTTCAGCAGTCTTTTGGAGCTGGATTCCACATCACATTGTGTTTTAGCCTTAAGCTATTACCAATTGGCAGTATATATCTTAAAATTACCAATTTCTTGAGCCTCTAAAACACAGAGCTGAGCTGGAATGGGCTGAGCGCAGGATCGTAAATTGTGTAAATGTTCCTGGCAGTGCTGACAGATGAGATGTTCTGTGCCAAGTTTGTAGGTTTGTTTGGGTAGAGATAACCTGGATACACTGTGCATCATTGTCGGCTCCTTACCCCATATTTAGTTGCTACTGGCCCCCAGTCAAACGGAGCAAAGTCTTTTTTAGTTTGTTTGCAGTGCTACCACAGTTTTTTAGAAATCTATTTGATATGCTTTTGATCTGAATATAAGCCATGGTCCAGCTATATCTAGTTAAAGTTTTTTTTGAAGTGGGGCTGTATGAGGTACTTATCCATAGTCAGTATATGACTTACAGAAGATCACGGTGGACACGGCCCCAGTTTAGAGAAAGCAGAAGCTAAATATCGTACTGCCAAAGACAAAGGCAGTCCAAAAACACATTTTAGCAACTTAATAGTAAGAAACAGCTGGATATAAGTTCATTGCACGCTATATTTCGAATATACAAAAACAAATATGGCCTTTCAATGTTGCAACATCTACCATGCTGCGTTTTGCAGTGCGTGCTGAGCTTCATGGAGGAATGTTGTTGGGACAGGTTGTCACAGTGGCCGAGGAGAAAGCAAGCACAGCTTTATAATTAAGCTGTCTTCGAGAACAACCTCTCTTTGTGATTAATGAACAACTCTCTCTTGAATTTACACACATAGACAATACATAACCTCCCTCAGCAGCATTGCCACAGGCTTCAGTCAGCTTTCTTGCAGAGGTATGACTTTGAATAGTCATGTTTAAACTTAAATAAACTCTATGGTCTCACTTTGTTACAGCTTGTATTTTGAGATTTCTCTTCTGCAATGTTGCCTGTGTTATCGCTTCAGTCAGCAGTCTAGTTTTTATTGAGGCTCTACACCGTCTCTACCTCCTCTCCCCCTGTTTATACACAGCAGACCACTCTGTTGTAAGTGAAAGAGTTCCTCTCAGAGCTTTCACCCAGCACCACCTCTCTTGCTCTAATGAGTGGACTGGATAGGGCTAGCCTTCAGTAATGACACTCTCTAACTAGGTGCATGTTTTAATTGCTTCCTGTTCTTTACTGCTGGAGGCTGGAACTGCAGTGGTAACAATTGGGGGTTT